TCTTCCTGTAGGATACTTGGTGCACTTGGGGAGGCTCCCAGAGGAACAATTAACATTGAGGAAAAACCATTCATTCATGAACATGGAAGAAGGGAAAAATACTGAATTTCATCATCATGTAAAATATTTAATATCCTGTTTCTTGTGGCCAGGAGCCAGAGGCTTTGGACTTCCTACTACAATATTTTCTAACAAGATGAATCAAATGTTTGAGGCTTTTAGAAATTTTGAAAGAGTAATGCACCCACCACCCCCTTGGCTAGTTGATTTACAAAACCTCCTTCAAAAAAGAAAAAGAAATTCCAGTCATCTCCTTATAGTTGGACATTGTTTCTATACAAGCAATTCTGAGAGCTCAGGGTCCCTGTGACTCCGACTCCCCCATCCATGGTACGCCTAACAGCAGCAAGCTAAGGGAATGATGGACACAAATGTGATGCTGCTCCCCGTATCAAACACGCATTCAGCTAGCAGAGGTGCAGGCTGAACCTGTGGGCCATTTACTCATTCCAGCCCCTTCAAAGAGGCATGTAAACCAGGCCAAGTAGATTGTTTGCAGAGTGGGTGGACAGTGCCTGGGTCAGACAGTTCTATGGGACACATATCAGTAAGGACAGCCTTTCTCTTCTGGGTTAATGTCCCACCATGCCACAGGAAAGGTTTCTTGATAGGTTAAAAGTTGAGTCCTACAGACAACAGACAACACTCCTCCATGCAAAGCAAAAACCAAAGCATGCATAGAAAGTGCACCATCTGTGTCTGGCATTTATATATCCCCATGTTCCGCCCTCTATACATACATGAGCTACATCTAGTCATCCTGATTCAGAAATAATATATATAAGTTTATATATATTATATATCCTCCTCATATATATGCTACAGAAGAAGGACTTCTAGCTGTCCTTGAACAGTGTGGCTCTTAAGAGGTGACAAAATGTATTCACAAGAGTTTCATATTGACTTTCTGTTGTTATTGCTGAGAGAGCCTGCACAGAGAAACAAACAAAGTTCTTAAGGGAATTCTTGGTACCACACTTGAGCAAAAGTGAATGTGAAAGTTCCAGAGCCATCTAGAATCCTCAACTTTTCACCCTGGCTTCTGTTTCGACTCTTCAGCTCACACTGTTGGAAGGAGACAAATATAGCCAGTTTTGCTTTGATCTGTGGTCAGCTTGGCTTTCCAATCCTGGCACAATGGTGACATTTAAGAGGGGAAGGGATGAAATTATTTTCATTCCAGCCTTTTAAGCACGATAAAGACTTTGAAAACTGCTCTGGGCAAAATATGAATTTGGATGTAAACAGAATATCTTTTGCTGTTGTTTGTTGTTTTTCGTTTTGTGGGTTTTTTTCTTTCTTAAATTAAAAAGTCCTTCTTCCTCCTTGCTGGGTATTTACAGAAGTATAAATAGGCAGGTCAACATGTCCACCCCCTCAATCATCTTGTTTATTAAAGAAAGGACCCGTGGCCTGCACTTGCTGAGTGATGGGGGAGGGTATTGCTGCAAGGTGCAACCCACACCACAGCCAGAACCAGACCAGCGTGACAAGCCAATCCTTATCACTTTCTGAAAAAGATCATCATAACTCTGAGAACAATTAGAATCCAGAAAACAGAACAAACCCTTGTGTGCATGTCTATTTACTCAGCACTGAGCAGTCAGCTGTCTGAATCCCTGGAATTCTTGCTGCCTCATGGCCAACCCAAGTCTCCTAATCTGACAGCTGAGTCCAGTTAGAGGCGACATGGGAGTCGGGTGAACCTCTCAATTAACCTCACCCATCCTGGAACAAAAGGTCTGTTTCCTCCTCTTCAGCCCCACTTTCCAGTTCTACCGCTCTGAAAGGCAACCTCAGGAAGGCATGGAGAGCAGGAGAAGGGGAGTGGATAGTAGTGGTACACAGGCAAAGCCCGTGGACTGTGAGATTGCCTAACAGACACATACCTATAGACACAAGCTTGTGTGGACGATCAGCACAAGTTCGGATCTACGGGTTTGTGGCAACAGGCTTCAGTATCTTCTCTTGTGTGGGGGTTGACTTGTCTGAAGACAAAATGTTAAAACCATTAGTCCAACCAAAGAGTTTGTCATTGCGTCATTTAGTCCAACAACAGAGTATGCCGTTGGGTCATTTCATGCCAGAGATAGAAGGGTTTCAACCTACTCTCAAAGGGTGACCTTAGAAAGGTCTCCTGTCGTCTCTGGCAGACCTCCTGGTTTTCTCATTCACTTGATGCAGTGGGCTTTGGGTGAACTTCATTTGATCAGAATCGTCATCTATTTAGTCCAAACTACTGTTAGTAGGGCTAGTAAGCGGAATGAGACAGATCCTAAAAGAAAGAACAAGAACCCAGGTGCAAGGTAAGTCTTTTAGCTTCTGCAGTTCTGTAGTAAAGGATACTAAGGTTTTCCCCCTTTTAAATTTGCATGTCAGAAAGAAAAAAACAAAAACAAATGGAATTAACCAGCAGCAAGTAGTGCTAACAACTTGGAAAAGAGCTTTCTCAACACATCTTAGCAGAGATTTCACTCTACTAAACTGGAAGGGTCATCTTCAAGAAAAGCTGTAGCTGTGTGTCATCCCTTCCCAACCCCATTATTGGTCCAAATATGAGCAATAAGCAAGTTTGGATGTATTTTCAAAATTAAGCTGTAAGAGGACATATATCACTGCTACCTCTAAAACTATTGAAGGGCATAAGGTTGTCAACATGCAATCAATATTTCTGCAAAGCTAAAGCTCCATAGGAAGAATGGATCTTCAAGGCAAGGGATTTTTATGAATGGCCTCTCCTGTGAGCTGTGTGGCCGACATGGTCATAGCAAAAATCACTTCAGGGAAACTCACCGGACGTTTAAACAATCCCTTCCCTAGATGTCAGGAAAACCACACACCTTGTGCTTTCGAACAATCTTACCAGAGGCTTTTGTTTTTTTAATTTCTGTTAGCTGGAAACTATGGAGTTGGGCCCTCAAAAAGATCTGCTTCGCCTTGTCGAGCGGACATTCACTCACTGAGAGCCCAGAAGATAAGCCGAGGCTCCACTCACAACAACAAGAGCTGAATTGGGGAGCTATTCATAGAGCAGGCCAGGCTTCATGCATGCATCCTAACACATAAAACAGGAGCCTAAGAAAAGAAGAGGGCCTGAAACGCTACCATGGTGTTCCTCGTCAGCCCCATTCACTCCAGATATGCCCACAGTGTGCAGAGGTGGGTGACGATGCAGAAATCGATAGTCTGAGAACCAGACCAAGCAGTACCCAAAACACAAATCTCCCTAAATTTCTCTGCATCATTTATTTAAAAACATTCATTTCCCTTATAAAAAACATAGGTGCTTTACATAATTCTTGAGCTTCTGATTTTCTGTTGATCTCGCTGACAAGGGAATAGGGACAGGGACATTTAAAACTGGGCACTGACCATTGTGGACGGTTGCTGAGAAATGGGAGTTGTAGCTCCTATTGACAGTCTAAGGGGATGGATTCCAGCTCCCCAATTAATCAGAACTAATTTTTAATACAGGCTCAGACATCCTCATCCAAATAATTAAAAACTCTAGCCCCCTTCCCCGTTTTTAGACAGTCTCATTGTGTTGCCCGGATTGACCTGGAACTCCTGAAGGGAACAGGCTGGCTTCAGACTCACAGAGATTCACCTGACTCTACCTCCTAAATGCAGGGATCAAAGGGGTACACCACCATACCCAGCTAAAACTCAGAACTTTTTTAGCACTGACCTGATGGCTCAAGAAAAAAAATCCCACACCTGACGCCAGGGGACATGTTATAGTGGCAATACAAACGCACTGAGAACTTTGCATAGAATACCTCCAGGCTACGTGTACATGACGTACTCGAACATCAATAACTTTGTGTTTAGACGTGGGCCCCATTATCCAACCACCTCATCATATTTGAAAACATTCTAATTTTTTAAAATCACAAATAGGAAACACTTCTCAATCATTTCAGATAAGGAATATTCAAATGACACTGTGGCTAGTGCAACAATTATGTGCAATATTTGTCACCAGTGACCTATCAAGTGGCACATGGTCTCCTTTGCACAGCACCACCTGTACATCCCCAAGATACCTTGAGACCACAGAAAGGAACTCAAGCCTGTGTTTCCCTCAAGACCATGTTTCGTTTATTCAAAGACAGGATAGAGGGTTACACATTCAAATGTACTAAGATCGGCTTCCAAAAACCTAACATTTTAAATTCAGAAATCAAAATAAGAAAAGATTTAAATATTAATGTTAGGAGTTAGTTAAGTTTGTTTGCCTTCCCTGAAGTAGCCGTTGAATGCCTTCTTTGAGAAATTTCTTTGTGCTGGAGAAGAACATGGGGATTCATTTTTTTTCCCCCAAAAAGGACATTTTGGGTCATTCCATGAGACAAGATTTCATAGGGCTCTATCAGACGGCGACCAAATGGGAAAGCTTGAGGCTGGCATTTACAAACAATGGGGAAGGTAATCTGGGGGACACCAGATCATGGATGCCTGTAAACCTTTCTGGGTGGCAGGAAGTGGTTCAATGACACCAGAAGGAAGCTTCCTGTATCATGACAGCTGGGCTCAATACCCACCCACTCAGGGGATGGTAGAGAGTTCCAGAAAGTAGTCACTTGTCACCAAGTCGAATGGAAATTAAAATATCAATAACAACCTTCTGAGATTTATATTAAGCCTGTATCATGAAATTTGGAATATGCATATCCAAATAGCCACGGAGTTCAAAAATAGTGCCTCCTGTTTTTAAATACATTCTGCCCAAATTACTTTCAAAAGAAGCACTCACTATTAGGAAATTAGTTTTTGAAACTCCCCAACTCCATAGAATCAAGTACCAGTACAGATAGGTGGATTGGTTATAAAATTATAAAATTAGTGACATTAAAAAATAATTGTCAATGCCCTAAAGACTGCTGTATTTGAGGAAATGGAAAGTTTGGGAGTAAATACAGAAAAATGCCATCCATTACCTGGAAAACTGAACTTCTCATGAGTATTTTTGAAGCAGTCTCCATGTTGCCGGTGTCTTCAAATCAGTCACCCCTGCCTGGAAAACAAGACATTTAAAACATTTTGTAAGTGGGTCAGGAATCAACTTACAAACCTTTGTTTGTTTCTCAGTTGGCTTCTTTTTGTCTCTCATTTCTTTTGTAAGTTAAATCATAAGTAGCCTCAGGTGAAGGATAAAAAGAAATATTAAAAAAAAAAACAAACAAAACCTAAATCTATTCCTAGAAAAAAACCCAACACTGGGACACGCCATGCTTATTTCTAGAATGACCCATAATAAAAATGTTCTGCAAATAAGTAACTTCACATCTCCCACCCCCTGGAAATTCCCTGGCTACCAATGGACTGTAAAAAGGAATTTTTCCAGGAAAATCATCAAATAGGAATGTGAAGTCTCAGAATATTCCCAAATTCCAATGTTTTCTACTAGACCACTTGCTTAATAAACATGGTAGTAGAGAGGCCACTCATAGTTAGGGATGGGAAGGCATCATGGGCGCATAGGGTGATGACAACTTGGCATAATGTAGCACGCCCCCACACCCTGCCCTCCCCCCCACCCCAGAAAACATTCTAACTTTCCAATTGCTCATCAGCTTGGGAGTTATCTTGTCTCTACCAACAAGGGCTGTGCCAAAGGAGCAGATATCTCACAGTGATTGGTTCCCAAGTCTGTCCCTCCTCTCCCACAGCAGGGCTCTTGGCTTGGGTTCCTCTGTCCTTTTGTCCTCCCACCAGCCACGGTTTAGACTGAGACTTTGTCTTATTCCTGTTCGTTCCCTAGGGGAAGGGAGACCCACTGTGTGGCTCCCTGCTGACGAGGGCTCTAAGGTCTGCACGCCTTTGGACTGGAGCTCCAAGTCTATGGTGATGACTGCAGCACTGTGCCTATAGACAGGTGTCACCTCCCCCTTTTGAAGATGCATGTCCTACAGACATCCTTTGTTCTGACATGACAGGGACAGTATCCTGGGTATTCTTTGATGGAGAAAAGAAGGAGGGGTGAGAAAAAGGGAAAGGGAGACTAGTAGAAAGAAAGAGGGAGGGAGGGGAGGAGGGAGGGGGAAGCAAGATAGAGAAAATGAGAAAGAGGAGGAGGGGAGGGGAGGAGCTTGCTCACACACGCCCTTCAGCATTCACCATGGCACCCAACATCATGAAGCAGGGAGAGGTCTTGGCCTCCTATAGCTTCTCCGTTTTTCTAATGCTCTGTCTTTTACTCTCTGAAGTCTCTCTTTTGTGTGTGCCTGTGTGTCTGTGTGTGTTTGTATGTGTGTCTGTATGGATGTGTGTCTGTGTGTATGCATGTGTATGTGTGTATGTATGTATGTATCTGTGTGTGTGCCTGTGTGTCAGTATGTATGTGTATGTGTGTTTGTGTGTATATGTGTGTGTGTATGTGTGTGTCTGTTTGTATGTATGTGTGTCTGTATATCTGTGTGTGTGTGTGTGTCTGTGTGTGTGAAGATACAGCTGCTTCCACAAAAGAAGCACATCCAGCCAGGCAGTGGTGGCACACTCCTTTAATCCCAGCACTCAGGAATCAGAGGCAGGCAGATCTCTGAGTTCGAGGTCAGCCTGGTCTACAAAGCAAGTTCCAGGACAGCCAGTTCTATGCAGAGAAACTCTGTCTTGAAAAAAAAAATTTTTAAAGAGCACACCCAGCAGTTGCTACTCCCAGGGTCGTTCACTGGTGCCCCACACCATGCTTCATCTGATATTTCCACAAGATCCCTAAACTGTGGTGTAGGAGAAAACCTCCCAAGAATACAATATGGTCCTGAAGTCAGCTACTTTAAGCTGAATTAAGTCTTTTCCCAGGAAAACCTAAATTAAAGGGAGGAAATGGGGGGAGAGTCATCCAACAACAGGGCATGCTTCTCCTGTTCTTTCAAGCAAAGCCCGATCAGACACTGCCATTTATAATCTACATGCTCCTGTACTAAAAAAAGAAAGAAAGAATGTAAGAAAAATGGCAAATGACAGCATGTGAGGGTCAACTAAAGAACAAAGACCTGAAAACGGTCTGATAGAATAAAGTCAGGGGAAAATTAAGCTCTCAGATTGTTTGGATGCTGTGGTTCTATTTCTTGTAATTAAGGAAATGTCTGAATCTACTTGATGTTCCCTGAAAGCAGATGTAGAGCTGAGACCAAGAACTGGAGAGTGAAGACGGGGACCAAGTTTGCTTTCGACACTCTTGGGGAGACAAAGGAGGAAAAGGCTTTGCCAGTCACAAGCCGCAGCTGGCTACGAAAGAAAGACGGCTTTCACTTGGGAAGGATGGTGTTTGCTCACAATGACAATCTCCCTTCCTTCTTAAGACGCCCAGGTGCCAGCCCACAACTTCTCCTCTAGCTGTGTTAACAAAGCAAGGGAGGGGGATTCAAAGGAAAAATAGTGTGACGCCGATTCCGACACAGAAACATTAGGCGTCTGTCATTTCTTTAATGCAAGTGAACTGTGTGCTGCACAAGCATCCCCAGGAGGCTGGCCAACCTTTACACTTCCTATTCAAAGGCAGGTTTTGTTCTTGAGAAGGCATGGCACAATTACGTTAGAATGTAGGGGTGCTGAAGAAAAGATAAAGTCGTTTGCATCGTGTAAGGAAGAGAACAAGCAATCTCTAAAGGGCCAGTACATTCCTCAGAGCTCTGACTGCTGCAGTCAGATCCCTGCCATGGGGAAAGGTTAGAAAAGCCTGAAGCCTCCACAACGACGCCCTCGAAAGGAAGCAACCACCTAACCCGAGTGACTAGATTCTTATGACGCAGGATGCCCTGTGCTTACTGAAGGGTACGGAGCCACTTACAGGGACAGACATACTTACACACACACACACACACACACACACACACACACACACACACACACCTGTATTTCACCCTATCACCAGGAAGTTCCAATTTTCTCATCTGGGTTTCCTGATTTCCACATTTCCTTATTTAGAATAAGAATCAGCTAAACAGATTACAAATTTGGATAGTGTCTGATAAATAGGGTTTAGGAAGGTAAGATCTCCATGTTACCAGTTCTACTTTCTGGTCATATTCTCCCTCCCCTCCTCACATACACGTGCACACACTCAATCTGTTGCCTGCTTAACCATATCAGAATGACAAGCAACATCTGTTTGTAAAAGAGCCAAAATCAAACCTTCAGTTTTTTGGGCTATATTTCTCTTCTCTTTCTCCCCTGACTCTAAAATCAGAGGGGGGGGGAAGTAAAGGACAATGTTAAGATTTCATTAGATATGGGCCCCAGGACAGTGTCCTCTTGCCCCTCCGGTCTGGAAGGCAAGGTGGTTTCACTCAGCATTTGAGGGTGCCTTCCTTGAGCATGCCCAGTCACACCAAAGGCAGCCGAGCAAAGCCCCGAAGTGAGGCTCTGCTCGTCGCTTTCCAGTTCTCTTCTGATCAGAACTGGGGGGACTTTGGCATCGGGCGAGGGATGAAAAGAGAAAGGCAGACAGGGTAAAATGGGCAGGAGGGACAGAGAAGAGGGGAGCTCATTCGTGTCTCCCCTCTTTTGTGACACAGGACCATTTCACACATGTCACACATAGGAGCATGCCAGAGGGGCAGCTAGAGGCCTAGGCAGGAATGCATGAAACTGGCCATCAGCAAGGGGCTCTGTCTATGCCCCCCCCACAGAGACCTAGATTTCTGGAAAGTCCCCAGTGATCCACAGACGCACAGTGCAAAGACTCGGAACTGTGTCTGTGGGGTGGGGGGAGGAAGGAGCTAGTAATGAAAGCCTTGCTCTTCAGCATAAAAGATTTTGCCCCAGCAGAAGGGAAAGAGAAGCCTGCGAAGACTCTCAACTCCCATTTCACTTGGGATTTGGAAGAAACCCACACACACCGAGGGAGAAATAAATCCAGACAAGTTGCTAAGGAGACTTGTGTAAACTCCAAGCACAGACATATTTCTTGGCCTTTCCCCTGCATAGCATCTCGTATTCCGAGCACGCAGCTCTGCAGCAGCCTTGCAGCAACGTTCTGCATTCATCTTGGCCTTAGCCGAGCAGACTGGCAGAGCTCACTGGTTGGAGATATCACATTCTTCAAACTTAACAAGTTAAAGGTGTGTGTGTGTGTGTGTGTGTGTGTGTGTGTGTGTGTGTGTGTAAAAGAGAGCAGGGAGAGAGGAGAAAAAGAGTATGTGTGAGAGTGTGTATATGAGAGTGTGTGTGAGAGAGTGTGTGTGCAAGTGTGTGTGTGTGTATATGTGTGTGTGTATTTGTGTGTGTATGCATGTGTGTGTGTAAAAGAGATGGGGGAGAGAGGAGAAAAAGAGTATGTGTGTGAGAGAGTGTGTATATGAGAGTGTGTGTGTGTGAGAGAGAGAGTGTGTATGTGTGTGTGTGTGTGTGTGTGTGTGAGAGAGAGAGAGAGAGAGAGAGAGAGGAGAGAGAGAGAGAGAGAGAGAGAGAGAGAGAGAGAGAGAGAGAGAGAACGAGAGAGAGAATTTTTAAAGTAACAGTGTTGAACAAAGAATATTTACATTGTGTATTTCAGGAGTAGAGAGGAAATGGGTAGGTAAAGTGTGCAATTCTGGACAATTCCCTTTGCCTGTACATTTGGCTTTTCTCTTTGCTCTTAGACTTTCCTCTCCTACATGTCCAGTTAAAATCCTGTCCTGTTGCACATGTAAGCAGAACTTCTATCCCTGTATATGACCATGTGGGGACCCAGGTTTCTAGAACACAGCACATTCTATCAAGTGGGAACCTGCCCTTCTGCCTTCCTGCTCTGTGGAGTCCCACAGAGCTCAGCTCTTGCAAACACACCCACCGGGGCAATCCCAAAGGCCTGGAACTCCATCCTGCTAAAATGTGATGCCAGCCAGCCTTGTGGAAGAGAGTTTTCAGACTGATCACATTCTCTGAAACAGACAACTCCTCCCAGAGTGACCCATCTCCAGCCACAGCTGATATCTGTCAACATTTGATTTAGGGGGAAATTAACATTTTCTTGTCAGACAGAGATGTTTGTGCTGTAGAAGTCAATATTTTCTTTTCTCAGCCTCCTCTATT